TCAGTACCACATTCTCAATAGTAGAACAACTAGAAAGGAATTAGGAACAATCCAGAAGAACTGATCAACACTATCAACTAACTGAACATAATGCACATGTGCAGAACACTGAACACAACAACGGAATGCACATTTCATATATCGAATAGTGACTATTAGATATAATTAAATCTAAATAAGGTCTAACAAGTAATAAGATGCACCAACTGTAACAGGTTTGCAATGCACCCAGTTTGTGCACACTGACTTTTTGTAATAGACTTTAGGCTGCATATGAACGTGGGTTGATTTATTGATGATAACTCCACATCATGAAAGCCAGATTGTATATAACAAAAATGACAATGTAAAAATGAATATATAAAGCACCACAGTAGTGGTAAACTTACTTGAGCTTAAAGGAAAAGAGAACGTAGACATGGAAAGCTTCAGAGAGGAGAATGGATTGTGTTGTGTATTGAAAGAAGGTCAACATTTTAAAAATGGTGAACAGAAAGGAAGCTCAATCCCACACAGAGAAAAGTACCTTAATGAAGAGGAAAGAATTCCTTCCTTCAGCATCTAAAGGAAACGTAATGATGAGTTGGACAGAGAGAGGTAATTTTCAAAAAGTGTTAGAGCCCCAATGATGGCATTTTTGAATGTCAATTTAAAACACTGCAGGTAAAGATGTTTGATCAAAGGTGTTAAAGTTATCCTACCATTTTATTTAATGGTCTAGTATTATATAAATAAGACAACACTATTAATATTTTTATTTAACTCTTTAAGTGTGAATGTTCATACATTTCACTGCATAAACATTGATGTATTTGATTACAGGATGTTGGCTTACACTCTTCTTTGAGGCTGCATAATGCATATATTACTTTTCTATAAGTAATAAAAATATAGAGGTTCTCCTCTACATTTTTAATTACTAGAGTGTTTATATCAGTTGTGTGTTGGTATGCTACAAATCACCCCAAATTTAGCAGCTTATGACAACACTCATTCATGAGCTCACAGTCTGGGTCAGCAGTTTGGGTTAGGTTCAGCTGGGCATTGGCTCACTAATGCAACTTTAGTAATCTGTGGCTGGATTGAAGCTGGGTGGTGTGCAATGACCTCAATATTGGTGGTTGGTTGGCTGTCCTTTGATTCTCCACCGTGTGTCTCTTTGGCAAGCTGGATGCAGCTTGTTTACATCATGTCTGCTTTTTAAAAGGGCAGGAGCAGGAACTGTAAGGCATCATAAGGCCTATGCTTGGAAATTGCTCCACATTACTTTCACTACATTCTGTTGATGAAAACAATTCTCAAATCATCCCAGCCGAAGAAGTAGAGAGGTAGACTATCCTTTCACAGGTGGAGAGGCAAAGCTTTTGTGGCATTTTTAACATTTACCACAGTGCTGTCATTCATACAGGGTTATGAACCTACATTATCACAGGAGGGAGAGGTAAAAATGTTCCTATTTCTACTAGAGTGTCAAATTCTTAGAATGAGTTTTGATTTTCTTAACAGCATGAATGATAGAAGATGAGGATACACATGATAGGTGACATATCAAATTGATTACTTCCACAAAGAAGAATGGTGTTAAAAATCTATAAACAATCACCAATAAAGCAAAGAAATGGTGGTAAAAGTGGAGTTCACGATGTCACAAGACCAGGTGAATAGGGCGTTCAGGAAGAGTAGCTTTCATCTTATGAATGTACTCTATGATTTATGAGCTATAAGTGAATAAGGATGAGCAAGAGCTATACACCAGGGGAAAATGTGTGTCAACCCTTCCCCCTAAACAAAAAAAAATCCAACAAAGAAAAATCAATCAAACAAACAAATAAACAAAACAAAACAAAAAGGAGAAGTGTCAGCAAAGACAAGGAAATGGAAATGTAAGGAATGTCTAGGGAGAGACTGAGGATTCTATTTGTTAATTATTTAAAGTGGAGCAAAGAGCACAATGGAAAAACTCAAAGATATAGTGTAGCAACAGGAAGTTTACTCCAGGGGGGTCTTGGTTTAGGTATATTGAAGGGAACCATAAATGCTTGAGATGTTTGATATAATCAATGGAAAAATAATTCACTTTTGCTGACAGTGACATGTCGATTACAATCTAGGGAAGGACCTGAAGATCTTAGGAAAAATATTTGTTTTGGTAGCAAAGAGCAATAAAAATGTCATTGATTAAATCAATTCAATGTACTGGTATCCTAGAACTGGCAACTTATTGAAAAGGAACAATATTTATCTCTGTGCAAAGATACAATGAGTTTCATTGAATTCTGACTATTGCAGTTAAGGTCATCTTAGGGCAAGAAAACACGGAAGCTATTAAAAAGGCATGAATTAAAGAATAAAGCAAGGATGACTTCCATTTAGGGGTGAGTCTGGGAAGAGTGAGATGTTTTCACTACCACTGTATACCGTATATACTGGTCTTGTGACTGATACCCACTTGTGTTTCAGGCCAAGCCACACACACCTGGGAGTCAGCTTTCACTATTCTTTTTCCTTTCATCTGATATATACTTCATCAGTAAAATATACAGGGGTCTGACACAAATAACGCCACTTTTTATTACAAAATCATAAGCATGTAATTCTGTAACATAACAATATCACACTCAAACACACTATATGACATTCACGTATGTACTTTTTCTAAATATGGAATATACTTTTTAAGACCAGAGTGTGTATGTTCTTGATCCAGAATATAACAATTTCCAGTTCTTCCCTTTTATATTAGTATGTTTGGAAAGTTGAATAATAAGTTATTAGAAGCCTATTAGGTAAGTAAGATGACAGAGGAAAGCAGCTGAATCCTGCTAAGGGATATTTAATCTGGACCATGCCGGGAATAAACCATGTGCTTGCCCTGCCATGAAACAGATGTTCCTAATGATGCTAGTAATCGGGTTTTCCAGATGCACTCCTTATTAATAGTGAGGCAATCATTTTCACAATGTATAAGCGAAACCCAAATAGCAGTGGTTTAAATAAGATAGAGACTTGTTTCTCTCCCCCAGGTAAAACCCAGATGTAGAGACTCAAGGATGTCTCATGGCTCCAAGTTATTAGGATACAGACATTTTCAAGCTTTACGCTCTGCCATCCTCAAGATAGTAGCATCATCCTTACATGTCAAAATGGAAATTTAGCCCTCACATCCAAAATCTAGGCCACGTTGTAGCAGAAGGGATAGGAAAGTGGCATGTCCTCATTTTTTGTTTTCTAAGGGTTGCATGGGTATCATTTCCATTTAAGTTCCAGTGGCCAGCACTTAGTAACTTGGCTGCTTGTGTAAGACATACTGGAAATACAGCTTAAATTCTGGGTGTTCACCTTCCCAGCTAATATCCTAAGGCAGAAGGAAAACTGGGAATTAACTAGAAGCTTTTGCCAACAGATTGGGTTGGTCTATTGGGTACACAGGCACACTTCAAGCTTCTTCCTTGCAACAGAAATTGCTATTAAATCAATCATTTGTATCTTTTAAAGTACATCTTTATACTTTAACTCCTAGTATATCAATTTTTATACTTTCTGTGCACTACATTAAAGCTTTTTTATTTAATGAGGAGGAAGTACTCTAATATCATTGGTGATATGTTTTGCAAATATTGTAGGCTGGGGAACTCCTGGAAGGTTTCTGCTGACAAGTAGTTATAGTAGTTTATAGTAGTAGTTATAGTAGTAGTAATTATAGTAGTTTATCTGTAATGTTATAGGCCATCCTGACTTATTCTTTAAGTTTTGACATAGACGGATATCCAAAATTTAACTATTTTATGCGTTAGCTAATTTATCAGTTTCCTCTACATTAACCCCCAAACACTAGTTGAAAGCCTTTGCTTTTAAGGGAACCCATTTCATTACAATGAAATTGTAATCAACAGAAATTTCTTTCTTAGTTAGAAATTATACACCTGAAATTCAAGTCTATTAGACTTTGTCTTTTCCTCTAGAATCTAGAGATACATGATTCACTATAAGAGCTAGTAGTTTTCATATTCAATAAACATACCAAATGTTTTAAAAGTTTTTTCTGAGACTTTCATGAGACATAAACTAATGGGTGTCTGTTTTCTCTCAGGGACTTATGTTCAAACATTTTTAAAAGGACTTCCCAGATTCAGCATGTAGATATACTTATGGTTAAGATTCTTCACAGTGATGCCTAACAGATTCATAACTAAACCATAAGGAAAAAGACACAGGCAGGATCTGGAGTAATGCATATATAGGTTTCCTTATGCTTCCTTCTTTTCATGAAAGGCCACATAGAGCACACTTTTCCCACCTGCAATGACAGTGTAGTGACATGTGTGTGATGTTTTTACCCAGAGATTCCCACTGGAGGCACAGAGCCCATGCCGCTTATTAAGGACTGGCCATGTAGGTTTCCTGAGGGGGTTGGTCAATGTACAAAGGTTTGGACTTTACAAGGAAAACAAGTATTTAGCATAAACCATCTTGATTGCCCAGCTTAGGAACAGTGAATCACCCTTGTCACTTAACTGTAGATTAGGAACTCTGAGAGCAAAGTACATAAATGCTAGCGAAGGACCAATTTTTCAAGCAGTGTTTTTTTTAATAGCAGCCCCAAACCTGCTATATAAAATCTTTATTCTTTTCTGTAAAGTAAATGCCCGTATGTTTAAATTTCCAGATAAGTAAGGCAGAGATATATGTGTAGGAGTGTACTTAATTTAATAGACATAAAATACAATGTAGATATAATAACTGTTTTCTAAATATTTAAATATTTATTCAATCAACAATAAATTTTCAATAGCTATTAAACAAATGTCAAATTATGTTATTACTGTTATTTAACAAATAAAGCATCCTATTTGCATTGGAAAGACACTCTTAGCACTCTACTGTTGGCAGTGAAAAGAACACAGTATTGACTTACTGGCAAACGCAAATGAATACAGCAACTCCTCCCTCCATTTCCCAATAAAAAGTCTGCCACGGCCTCCATCCCCAGCTTTGGCACGATGGCTCTCCTGTTTTCTTGGGCCTGCATTCTAACTGGATGCTTTTCTGTTTCTTTAGGAGAAGCAGCAGCCAGTCTCTCAGCTCTGTATCCCCCACTATGGGACGAAAGTCCTGGTCAGTTCAGTGAGTACAGGGTGGAGAATGGAAAGTACATTATTAATCCCTGGATATATCCTGAGAGAATGGGGATGTATAAAATTTTACTGACCCAGACAGCCAGGTATTTTGAAAAATTTGCACCAGAAAATGAAAAAAATATATTGTGGGGATTGGCTCTGCAGCATGGCTGGCAATATAGTACAGGTAAGACCAGCTCTTGTTTTCAATCTGATGACCTGCCAGTATAACCACATAGTAATTGAGAAGTGGGACTCTATATTTGTCATTCCATGTTTTTGTAATTGATTATTTTCTTTTCTCTCCTTCCCCTACATAACCATTATTCTCTCCTTCTCCTCCATAAATCCTCTTTTAATGTGCCGCCTGTTTTGACTAGAAAATGCAATGGGCATACAGTATAGCTGCCAAACACAAAAGATGTCATATCTAATCTATTGAGCATTTGAAAAATATTTATTGAACTTCTACTAGTCCAGAAGTTCCAGACCCATTCTAAGTGCTGAGGTGAACAAAACAGTCAAGGGGAGATATATTAAAAACAGAAGGTGACATCAAATTAGTTCAAATTCCTTAGAGTTCTGATTGTGATTACCTTTTGGGTGATGGCATGTAGTGACGCCTTGTACGTAAGGATGTTTCTCTTCAAATGAAGTACATGCCAGGGATCATTTAGAAGATATGTTTGTGCCAAAGATTCAGAATCTAAAGAATATTTTTGTTTTGGCACACAGAAAAATCTCATGAAAAAAAGTTGTACCTCTTTGCCTAGTGCATACTGATAACACCACACATAAGGAAATTAGTTCCGTTACTAATGGAAAAAAATATATAGGGAGATCAGAGTTTATCTGAGGTCTGAGCAGGGGTCACATGAAGGAACTACTGAGGTTGGCAAACAATCCATCTTGCTAAGAGGATATCTCGAGACTCAAATCTATTCTGAGGTATGTGGCTTTCCTTGGAGTCAGAAAGACGACAGATAAGGAGAAATCATGAACACGTTGTTCACTACAAGAGGCGTGTTAGCCTCAGGGGCCTGCAGGCTTGTGGTACCTGGAAACTGAATGGGCTGGTAGAGTAATGCCTCTCTTACTCTTTCACTACATTCGCACATTAGGATGAAGCTTGAATAAACTCACCTAGTGGTGGGCTTGTATGTGCCTATCATTTTCTAAGAGCAGTGGGAGTGTGGGGTGTGCGGTGAAAGTAAATATTTCTGAGTTTCCCAGCCACCAAAAAATTTACAACATCATTGGAATGAGAAAGATAGAAAAAATAAACAGGGAACAATAAATAACATCTCTTGGACAATAATTAAAAGTGCTGAACAAGAAGGAGTGTGCAGTGAGCTGGGATAATCAGAAAAAGTGGATTTGAACTAAGACTTGAAATGCTGACAGAATTTCACTTATGTCTGGATGCACACTGAATATTACCACTTAGTTGAAAAACATGGGGAGCGCACTGTCCGTGAAAGGCTGAAGACTGCACCTACTGGCTGAGCTCAAATATCAAGGATGTCTCACCAGAGCAGAGTGAAGACGACCTGTGTGGAGTAGAGCAGAATGAAGCTGACAGAAGAGGAGTAGAGCAAACCTTTGAAAGTGGAGATGCCTAGCCAGAGAGGGGTGGTGCCAAAGAGGGCCTGCAGACCAGTCCCAGAGCTGGTCTGCAGTCCCTGCTGTTTTCACAGCAGCACAGTAACACTGCTGAGCTCTGTGCATCGAATCAAGTTTCCTTCTTCTCTGCATGCCCACAAAAAACAACAACAAAAACAACCCTCCAAAAAACCATTGCCTAGGTCCACCATTAGAAATTCTAATCTGATTGAATAATATGAGAAGTTAAGCTAAAGGACAGAGCCTGGAAACACCATGGCACAGGTGTATGTGATTGTGTGAGGGTATGTGTGCGTGTTAAAAAAGAGTCAGGGAAAAGAATGGAAGACAGAGAGAGGCAATGATGTTGTTGGAAGGTCAACAATGGAAGATCAAATTAAAGCAAAACACTGTATTTCAGAATATGTAAGAATTAATGTCATTGATACATTGGGTACATTTAGCTTAGGGTTTGGTTTTGAAGTTTTAAGAGTTATAAAATTTTTTAGGTTCTGGAGCAAATATGTTTTTACTAAAAAAATTTGCATGAAGCTGGTTGAGTAGTTTGGTTTAGGTGGATTGAAACAAGGTACTGGTGGTGATGGGTCGAGATCAGACAGTGCAGAGACAATCCAGATCTGAAATGAAGAATCCAATGAGTGAATGTTTGCGGTGACGGCTAGAAAGATTCTTCAGAAAGAAAGGACAGGACATGGCTTCAGCTTGGACACAGAGATAAAAGAACTGAGATTCTTGAAATGAAAGAGTACAAAATTGTACTCCTCTGAGAGAAAAAAAGTTATTCAACCTGGCATGGGTATCAAGACCAGTGTATAATTTCAGCCATGTTCACTAGAGGTGAAAACAAATCAAATAGGACATAGGCTGAAGTGGGTGTGTAAAGCTGAAGAATATTTGTTACCAATATCAGGTTCATATTTGAAGGTGTTCTGCATGGCGAACTCTTGGAGGAAGTAAGTGAGAAAAAAAAAGGAGGTGGAATAATGGAAAGAGGAGACAGGAGAACCCTCAAAAAATGAAAGAGAAAAGATAGAGGGGAGAGATTTACAGACATTCTGCAATCTGAGGATTAGTAAATTAGGAAAATTCACACTTCTAATATTCATGTAGGCTAATAGCATTGACAATTCTTTAAATCATTGCTTTGGGAATGATCAGGTTAAGGAAACCTGAGTGATAGAGAATAATAGAAAAAAAAAGACTGAAGCTATAAATGGAAAAGAGATGAGCAGAAATCACATACACAAAAAGAATGAAAATGGTGAAACTGTATAGAAATGGAAGGAAAAGAGAGTGGGTGAGCAGGAGAAGGGCTAGGAACAAAAGATGCAACATAGTGGTCAGTAGAGTCATGAAAGCAGTTGGAGAAGTAAATGAGAGTGTATCCTCTATTTACTTAGGTAGAAGCCAGAGAGAAGGAGAAGTTAACAAGAGTAGGAAGAATAAGCTGTAGAGTGGTAAGGTAAAACAGTAAAACAGTAAAACAAAGCATAACAAAAAGCTGTACTGGGAGCAACATTTGAAAGGGGGAAAGAAAGTATGATAGAGAATTGGAAGATGCAAAGGATAAGCACAGGGAAAATGGGACAACATAAATCTGAAGTCAGAGGGGTTGAGAAGATATCAATGGTCATCTGATGAGAAAAAGAATGACTATCCTCATTGAAAAAATACTTTTCATGGGTTTTCTCACTTGACACACAACCATATGATAAAGTTAATATCATTATCCCCATTCTATAACTGAGCTATTAGTGTGAAGTTCTTTATCAAAGGTAAACTGAGTAAACGACAGAGAAGGATTTGGTTTGCCTGTAGGCCTCTTTTAATCTGTGTGCCTATACCTCCTTAATTTTGAGGGGAAGAAGGGAAGGAAGTAGAAGAGAGAATAATTACAAAATTAAATAATATTCAAGACAGATAATTCAAAAGTAGAAATTTATGGTACTACTAGAGACAGGAAAAAAATTGGCTCAGAGCAAAGAAATGAAGGACAAAGAATGATAGGAAGATAAATACCAGTCATCAGAAGATGCATGGTTGAACAGTCTGATGGTTGCCAGATGGGAGGGGGTTTGGGAGCTGGATGTAGGGGGTGAAGTGATTTAGAAGTACAAATTAGCGGTTAAAAATAGTCATGGGGGTACAGTACAGGGAATGTAGCCAGTAAAGCTGTAATAACTATGTGTGATGTCAGATGGGTACTAGATTTACAGGGAGGATCACTTCTTAGGTTATATAAATGTCTAACCACTATGTTGTACATCTGAAACTACTATAGTATTGAGTATCAAATGTAATTGAAACATAAAAATATTTTTAAAATACTTGTGCATTCTTGCAAAAAAAATACACCTAATTAAGTGGCAATTATTACCAGTTTCAAAATGTGCATAATAAATAATCTGTGCATCCTTCTCTCCTAGGTCGATTAGCTGACCCCAGCCAGAGGACAGACTGTGGCTATGAATCTGGAGATCCATCGTGCATCTCTGTGGACAGTTGGTGGGCTGGTAGGTTCATTGAAATAGCAAAAGAGATAGTAGCCTTTCTCTCCAAAATGTGTTCAACATTAAGTCCTAAGCACAGAGATAAAACTAAAGTGGTACTATTCCTTTGTTAAAAGGAATCTACTTCCTCATGCACCTTGCAGCCTTTCTGTCACATTCTAGGCTTTAACAGCCACAATGGCAATGATTACTTAGGACATGTTCTGATTTTTGCAGAAAGACTGAAACAAAGAGTTGCAAAGGACAAGGCCTCCGACAGACCGGCACTGACAGTTAGGTGGGAGGTCCTACTAGTGACAGGGAGTCTGAGGGATGAGTGAAAATGAGAAATGAGGGAAAAAGAAAATAATACTTTTGCTAATTTTGCTCAGACTAAGTGTGTTTAACTTTTAAACAGGTGAACTTGCATTAGTCTATCACAAGTTATTTTATCAAGCAATAATCTAAGGCTTCAGTCAGATATTGAATACTAAAATAGTCACAGGTGTTTTCTAATTCTTTGAATTTATTTTGTGATTTACTAATGAAAGTAACTTATGCACAATTTCTTAGAATATTTCTCAATAGTTAGGAAAAAAAATCACTTTAAAGTTCACTTTCTTGGAGTGGCACATATCATATACATCTTTACGTATTTTCCTAATATGACATTGATTGGTTCTTCTCAAGCATCAACATACAGTCATGGCCACATCTCTGAAGTCAAATTTCTTTCCCCCTCACCAAATCAATGCATGGCTTTTATTTCATCTTTAAAAGATCACAAATAAGTCTCAGGTATCATCTGGCATTTTGTTGTTGCTGTAGCTGGCCCTGTGTTTGACATTGATGTAATTGAAGTTTGTTTGCAGGGTGCCCCTGGTCCCCTTCACAATAACTGTGTGTCCCTACAGAGCGATGTTGACTTTTTTTTGAATGTTGACAGCTGGATTGCCAAGAATGGTCTTCATCCTCCCACTAGATGTAGAAAAAAGGGCTAGAATCAAGTTTCTTTATTCTCAGATTGACTTAGTAGTTCGGAATATCAGCCTGCTGCACTGGGGCGTCGGACTGCACTCACAAATGTATGTGTATAATAAAAATTGCCTGCATCACCAGTGGGGGTCAGTATAAGTTCTGAGCCAACTATATTATAATGTCGTAATCTGCTGGAATAGATAGTTTACACGTAGAGAGAAAAAAATTAATTCATTGTCAATTTAAATATCCAAAAATCTATTGTCAACACTTATCCAAAATTTTGCCTTAAAGACTTAATGTAAGGACTTTGTGATATCCTGGTGGCACATTGAACTTGGTTAAATAAAACACAAAATATCAATGCTATAACCACATATAAAATACTTTAGATAAAAAAAGTCACATTTGATGGTAAAACCTCAGTTAGAGGTATAATATTTTTCTGTGCACAAGTAGATACCTATCTTCCTTTTATACCTAATGGTTTGAAAATGTATATTGCCAAATCTATTAAAATTACTTCGTTGTTTTAAAATATTAGAATCAACTACCTTAACTTATATTTATTTATGAGCATAAGGATATGAATACAAGTATGTTAAATTTATATATATAATCCTTATGAAGATTTTTAATTTTTTGCAGTGATTGTTTTATATATTTCTGGTTCTGTGAGTTTTGCTTAATGGTTTACAGATTACTTAAAAATGTCCTCTATCACATTTGTCAGGGCTTGTGGTGATAATATATATTTTACTCTTACAGACATAAATTACTTCCTCTGTGCATTACCCTTCCTTGCTGCGGTTGATTCTGGCATAATGGGGATATCATCAGACCAAGTCATACTCTTGCCACCACCCAAGGATCAGATGAAGTTTTGTGTTAATGTTTCTACTTGTCAGTCATCCTTTCCTACAGCAATGAGAAAGTGGAAAAGCTTCTACGAGGTTCTTTTTTATATTTGTAATTTATTCTTTTAGGACGTGGTAAGATAATTCCTTTTTTTTTTTGCATAATGCTTTGGTTTAGGTTTTTGTGTGTATTATGCAGTATTTTCCTAAGTATAAAAATGCAAATTTTTATGTAAGTTATATTAATATTGTTACATTGCAGCAGGGCATCACATGTCATTAACATTCTCTGAACCAGTAAAGCATTGAGGCAAAATCTATCAACTCATTTCATAAATAAATTACATGTAAATGTGAGAGCACCCAGGTATCTCACTAAATGAGACTATGCTGGTTAATTGGAACTTCAGGTCAACCATAGGTTAACTCTTGAGAGAAATTTGATTATGGAGTTTGTTTGAAAATAGTCCATTGGCTTATTTAAACTGCATCAGTAAATGATCACATATAGGTAGAACTGTTATGGGGCAATGAAAATCATCTATTCAATGACCAAGAAAAAAATACACTGGTTAAACATAGACATGGACCAAGATCAATGCCAAAAATATAGATTTTCTAGCTCTATAGTTTTAGTTCATCAGTTTAGATAGGCTTAAATTAAATATTCTAAGAATTTTTCCCTTTTCTTAAACGTTAACTTTTGTGATAATTTCAACTGTGACAGCAGAGAAAAAAATTATAAACAAAAAAAGTTCTGACTGTTGGGAAAATATTTGCAGTTCATTTCCTATAGATGCATTCAATATTAATACTAATAATAGATAATTATTATAGTCTTTCCAGAGTGTTAGTCACTGATGACTTACACAAATGAACTTTTAGAAACAGAATTCTCCCATTAAGTAGAAAATTGCTAAATTATTCATTTGAACAAGATTAAATTGTAGGGAGAGAAATTGCTGTGTTTGCTCAAACATGAATTAATTTCTCCTCTTCACAACAGCACATGCAGTCACCTTATAGTAGCTTTGAGGACCTGCTGAAGTACTTATGGGATGCACACGCTAAAACCTTGGGTGATGCTCTCAAACCATTTGATCACAGGTAAGAATGGATCCCAAATCATTTCATTTAATATGGAAAATAATTTAGGGGCTTATTTGTGCTTTTTTATTCTTCTTCTAATGTGACTGTCAGTCTTCCCATTAAATAATATATCTAATCACTGAGGTATTTATTGATGAGGTGTAAATATTTTTGTATGATCAGAGTCGGAAAGTGTTTTATGAAGAAGGGGCACAAACTTGAGAAGGAAAATCTCATACCAACCAATCAACAAATAAAACATGCAACCAATTTCACTATTAAAAAAGAGATTTTATTCATTATTTTGATCATAAACACTCAATATGATAGGTACATTCTTGGGGGAAAAGTCAACCAGCATCTGGGTTAGCACACAAAATAGCCTGGAAAGTTATCAAATCACTCCACATGTAAACCTGGTGGTATTATATACCCAGATGTGAAGGTGTAAGAATAATTTGTGTTTAGATTATGCAGACACTGTGTTAGGGTTTCCCAGATAAATAGACGCAGTAGGAAAGAGAGAGAAAGAGCGATGATAAGAAACTAACTCCGAGTAACTCCTAAAATTATGTAGGTGGGCAAGTCCATAATCTGCAAAGCCAATGTCCAGCTTTAGTTCGAAGGCTGGTAACTGCCACAGAACCAGGAAGAACCTGTGCCCCAGTTTGAAGGACATCAGAGGAGGGAATTTTCTCTTACTCAAATTAAGATTAGCATTTTCTTCTGTTATTTCAATAATCAACTTATTGAACATGGTCCATCGACATTGTGGAGGGCAATCTGCTTTTCTCAGTCTACTGATCTAAATATAAATCTCTTCCAAAAACACTCTCACAGAAACACCCAGATTATGTTTGGCCAAATAGTTGGCTATGCTGTGGCACAGCTACCATCACAGATATTATTTAGAGGTGGAGTCAACCCTAAAAGTGAGGTGTAGGGTAGAACATCTGAGTATGCTCAAAAACCAAAACAAATAAACAAGAACAACAAAAAATTCAAGGACTGTTGGGCTTGTATAAGTAATTTTGTACATTGAAGCAAGAATGTTTGAGTACCTCATATTTCACCGGTTGTTTCTCTCGTGGTCTTCATCATCCTGTAAGGTAAATAATTAACCTGATTAGCAGATTCACAAAACACTTCCTCCTCTACCTGTTATTACGGCTTGGACAACTTAGTTAATCTGGGCAACACAGGGGTCTTCTTCCTTGGCCGTGTGAATGATATGACTTGGCTGCAGACGTCTTAACTGCATTTAAGAACAAAAGCTTTCAACCAATTTATGTCACTTACAACTTCAAAAAAAGAGTTCTGCTAAATGGAATTCTTTTGATACCTTATGCTGATAGAAGATGAATTATTTAAGGATTTTTAAGATGGAAGATTTCAAATGCTTGCTTATGTCCCTTCTGATTTGTCCTAAAAATTTTTTTGAATATTTTTAGACTATTAATTATTCCTTAAAAATGTAAGAATGTAGAAGTTAACATCTTGTGCTTTGGAGTCAAACAGATTTGATTCCAGTAGCCTGGGGATCCCAACAGTGTTAAACTCAGTCTCGCCATCTTTAAACCTGCAATAATAATTTTACATTCTACACAGAGTAGTTTTGAGGATTAGTTGAGGAATCCATGCATCATGCTTATCATACCTCTGGCACATGGGAAGCATTGAATACAAATTATCTATTATCATCAAGACAAGAAGTAGTAGAGGGTACTAGAAAAGAACATAAGCTGTAAAGCCAGATCTCCAGGATTTAAATCCTGGCTCTGCACTTTGTTAGGAGTGCGGAACTGCATTTCATCCAGTTTTTCTAACAAGAATGTAGCACAACTGATGATCACTAAACCTCAGTGCAACACAGCAGTACACATTTATAGCTCACACGTCTGAGGTTAGCTGGACAGGTCCCCTGACATCTCCTGGGCTCACCTCATGTTGGCTGACTTTTGTTGGCTCCACAGGGCTGAGTGGGGAAGCCCAGCTCTGATCCACTTTTCTCTTATCCTCCGTAGGGCAAGCTTAGTTCTTTTCTACAGTGTTGACAGAATGGCAAGAGAGAGAAAGCAAGTTGTGAAAACTTATTTCAAGCATATGCTGTGTCAAGTTGGTTGATATTCTGTTGGTCAATTCAAATCATGTGTCTGAGCCAGTGGTAGGGAATTATGCCACTCTCCTTCCTCCCCACCTCCCACTGCAGCGGGGAGGGAGAAATGGAAAATTCCACACCAAAATACAGGGACACAGAGAGTATTGAGAAACTGGGGCTATATATGCGATCTACAAATGCTGGAGCACTTCCTTAACCCCATGTGTTACTTTCTTTAAGTAAAAAATATACTAGTATTTTTTATTTACATAAAATAATGCTGAACTCTGTGTAGCGTATATAACTTAAATAAAACTCGGTGGTCTTAGAGTATGAGATTGGCTTAGAGTATGCGTATATATAATTAAAGTCAAACTTTTAAGATATATTTTTATATTTTTACTTGATCACATCTCAACTGACATCAGATAAATCATTCAATTATATATTCAATTAAATCATTTGGAACACTTATGTTGAATTACACTTCTGATCATAAGATCTCTTTGTCTTGAACTGGGGGTGCTCTCACGTCTTTTTTCGCAGTTTGTTTAATTTATTACTCACAAGGCTTTGAGGCCATGGCTCATAATCCTTGTGAATTCCAATATCTTTTTGTTTTTATTCCACAGTCAGCTGTGATCTGACTAAAGATAGTTGACTATGAATCTAGGCCACAGTTTTCTTTCTTCAGGAGTTCACTGACCCCACTCTTCTACTTCTGGACGTTGGGGTCAGGCAGGAGCCCACAAGCATGGGAACCAAACACAGCAAGATTTCACCTGTGGGTTATGTTATAGTCCCTTTAACACTGGGAAACATAATGTAAGCATTTTCTATTTAATGAACCTAATGTATGTGATATGGAAACCAAAGTTAAAGTATATTTTAATGAGAAAAACAAACTTTAAATATATGAATGACACAGTACTGTGGGAATATTGAAGAGGAGGAGAGCCAGTTCTGTCTCAGGTGTGCAGAAAAACTGTGAGGAGGTGACATCAAGGATGATACTTGGAAGAAAAAGTAGCTGATGGGCAAAGCAGAGAGTAGACAATATTTCAAGAAGAATGAGTCTGTTATAAAAAGACTGCAAGTTATTCAGCATGTTTAGACTGCTGATGGAGGCAGGAACTCTGAATTACATAGTTACAAAATCATTTACCATACCCTCATCCTTACCACTGTAGTAATTTGTCCCCCAAATACGTGAGAGAGTTTGGTTTCCTAGAAGACTTCATCCATGTAGGAAAAGTCTATGTATTTAGAAAATCAGACAAGAAAAACACAGCTATTTCTCTAGGGTGCTCAACATTTCAGGGGCCTCCTGGCTTTAGGAAATCAATAATTACAAAGAATGCCTGAATCTAGCAAAAATGCTGTCTTGGAAACTTTGACTTTATTCTGTATATTTCTAAACAGTATTACTTAACAGTAATACTGTAACAGTAATAGTAAAACAGTAATAGTGTAACATCTGCTTATTATAAAATATGTAAATATGAATCTTGTTAAAAGTGACAAAAATTCCGAATGTTAACAATGATTGAATGGTCCTTTCAAATTAAAAAATTTAACTAACTACACTTGTACTTTGAGAGGTAGGAACTCAAGCCATTACATTCTAAAACTAAGAATTACATTCTTAGTTTGTTGACAGAGGATAATGTTTTTCTAGAAAATACTAAGCTAAAATTCTGACTATGCTAATTATAATTGTACATATATCCACTATTCTTTTAGGTTGGTATATTATTCTAAAGCAGAAGCAGATTTTGAAAGAATATGGTCTGTGAGTGTGGAGTATATAGCTGCATTACAGGTACCTACAACCTTGATCAAAATGCATGAATTACAGAAGGGTCTGCCCCCCCGGATGCTTGTGAATGGGGACAGCGCCCCCTTCATCAGTGACTTTAGTGAACGTCAAAACATGTTTCTGTTTGGTCTAAGTCTTGTTCGAGATGTGGATAGCTGGACAGGTAAGGACATTTTAAAAATACCTTAAAGAAAATCAATACTACATTGAGTTTTAAGGGAAGAAATAATGATGATCTCAGAGATATATGTGTGTATGTATGTATATATAGATGTTTACAATCATAACACATTCTTTTTTTTTAAGATTTTATTTATTTATTTTTAGAGAGGGAAGGGGGAGAGAGAGAGAGAGAGAGAAACATCAATGTGCGGTTGCTGGGGTTTATGGCCTGCAACCCAGGCATGTACCCTGGCTGGGAATCGAACCTGGGACACTTTGGTTGCCAGCCCATGCTCCATCCACTGAGCTACGCCAGCCAGGGCTATAACACATTCTTTCAAAGAAAGTCTTGATTTCCTATGGGCATCTATTTTACACATTTCGATCCTTCCACTCATGGTCTGTCTTTTCTCATAGGTTCTTATTGACCCATGAAGCTACCAGATTATGTCAAGTCTATTTTTTTAATCTAAAATCTATGTGTGTATATGTAAATATATATAAATATTATATACATACATACATATATACTATATATCTATGCATATGACTATGTAGATACATAATTGTTATAATAATCTATCTTTATTTACTTATACACGACTCTTAAATTTAGAAAAAAAATCAAGGAATGTCAAAATAAACCCTGCTGCAGGTAATAAGGAAACTATCAAATCGATTTAGGTACACACTCTCCTCCAGCTTTACTAGTTGTGGAAGACATATTCTGTTCCATTTCCTCAACTATAGGATTCTCTAGCAGAGTGAAAAACTCAGTAATCTATCATTGTGTGTTTGAATAACCACATTATCACAGATTTTCAGATATGCTCTTATGCAGTGAACCAATATTAAAACATAATTAAAATATTAGTATTCTTAAAATGAACAAAAAAGCAAAAATATCTGAAAGATACAAAGGCACAGTAAACACAATTACATTAAATGTATGATTTGAAATCTTATTTGCATTATTTCAAGTAACAAATATATCCACCTGTTTTAGGGGCTTCATACAATTGAACTTTCTTGCCTGGTAGTGGCCCCATATTTTACTGATAAAGAAATCAGGGCTTTGTAAGTTTAAGTAATTCCCAAGCTGGTGAATGATCCAGTAAATTTGCATCCTGGGAGTATTAATTTAAAGCCTATCCTCTTTCTCCCTATCAAGTCACCCTGCACCCTGATATTTGTATTCTAGGATAGTTGAGAATATGGTGTCAGCATTTTGCTATTGTTAGGTGTGTCAAGGTAGGACTGACTCAGTGTTATCAAGTCTAAAAATGTTAAACTAACCTAACTAGTCTAGATAAAAAGAAGAAAAAAATAGCTATTCTTGGGTCTTAAGACTTTAGTAGATTAGCTCTAGCCAGCTGAGAAACCTGAAAGAAATGCCCTCATCCACCAATCAGGTAAGATGTTACAACTACATAGGGAAGAGTAAAGGATGTTCATGAAAGTTAAAGGGAAATCAAGCATTATTCTCTCATTGCCAGAGTCTAGAAAGGAAGAACTGTAGACCTGGGACCAAGTGTTCTGGATATTTCTGAACTGCTACCACTTGTATATTAACCAATATAACCTGAAATATTTTTTGCTTCAAAAATTGTTTTTACCTGGCTGGTGTAGCTCATTGGATTGAGCACGGGCTGTGAACCAAAGTGTCACAGGTTCGATTCCCAGTCAGGGCACATGCCTGGGTTGCAGGCCATGACCACCAGCAACCGCACATTGATGTTTCTCTCTCTCCCTCTTCCTCCCTCCCTTCCCTCTCTAAAAAATAAATAAAAATCTTTTAAAAAATTGTTTTTAGAACTCTTATTTATTATTTACTTAAAACACATTTTAATTGCTGTATTTTTTCTGATGTATTTAAAAGTATGTTTAACACATTTAAACTTTTAAAGTCTAAGTATATAAACACATGAAATGAAAATAAAAAATCTTTACCTTCTCCTTTCGATCACATTGTTAGTCTTTCACCCATTTTTTAAAAATCAGTCTTTGGTCAATATTTCTAGATTTGTACTTTTGTACATAGAACAATGAAAATAAATGAACAAATAAAACCTGTGCTGTTAACACAAGTGAAATCACACTACTCTGGAGTACACGTTTTTAACTGAAAAAAGTTTTAGAGCTTTTTCTATATCAAGTTATATTAATTCAACTATTTTACTTGAAGTATATATAGTGTTTTATTTAATGACATTATCATAACTGGAGATCATTTTATGTTATAAGGTATTGGCAATAAAACAAAAATTGCACTTTATGCCTACTGTCAGGCATAACTTATTATTTTAACATACATTTTTCAAAAAGAAATGAATTAAAGTCGATGGATCATATATTGCAAAATGGTACTCAAAAGAGTGTTCAGGAGTTTACATTTTTTTTCATAAAACTATGAATTAAGGTTCTTGTTTTTCTCCAATCCCTATCATATGGACAATTTCTATAATTTGTGCTAGTGTGTTTGTAGAAAATGTTACTTCATTATTATCTGGTAAGTTGCCTAATTTTTCTTATTGATTTCTATGTGAAGAGCTGGTCAATTAATTTTAAATTTAAAAACCTCTGTGTGCATAGACATGGACAACAGTGTGGTGGTAACCAGAGGGAAAGATAGGTGGGGGAAAGGAGGGGGCCAAAGGGAGGAAAAATGGTTACAAAAAGAGACTTTGCTTGGAGCAATGGGCGCACAGTGCAGTGTGCAGACTGTGCTTTATTGCTTTGTACTCTTGAAACCTGTATGGTTTGGGGAACCAATGTCACCCCAATAAACTCAATAAAAAATTATGTGTGAGTCATCATGCAATGCAAATATAATATTTGTGTACAAAATACATAGAATTTAAATTAAAATAAACATTTTAATAGTTGGGCTTATGTTTACATATCAATATTTTATAACTTTTTCAGGTTCATTATCTTTAACAATATGGAAAATTTTAATGAAGACACAAATTGCAAGACAGCAAGCTCTAGAGTTTTTAGAAATGATTCTTGAAAAGTTTAATCCAACACTTCCGGAGTAATGAATGAGTTAACAGTAGACATTTTTAATTTGTTGGACACAGCAATTTCAAATTTTAACTGTATCATAAGCATGAAATTTCTTCTTTCTGTTGTTTTAGATTTATGTTCATTTGTTAGGATTTTGAACATGTATTCCTAACTATAAATTCAAATTTTGTTCTGATTATTTTGCTCAATTAATAATTCTTGATTTTTCCATTCATCAGTATATAATTTTGAACATCTAAAGAAGTTTGTATTAAGCTATTATAAATCCTTGATAAAATAATAAAGACACTGAACCTGCAATGGCTTTTTTGTTGTTATCTTATATAGTCTACTTTCATAAAATTTAAAGCAATATCTCTCTGATTTTCAACCCAAATCCAGAACATTAAAAAAAATACTGACTGTTGATTAAAATTTTAAAATTCATAAAACTGAACTGACAAGCAGAATACCTAACTGATTTGTCTGTGTGTGTGTGTGTGTGTGTGTGTGCAGTTTCACTGATCACAAGTTTATAGCAATTGTGTACTCTTTCTTCTCCTCAGTCCACATGTGATAATGAATGGTTAAGGGTGAAAGCTGCTCTCTTTTAGGAGAGAGATGAACTGGCCAGAAGGGGTGACTCCCCGAGCTGACATAGGAAGGTTTCCCAGAGCTTTATCCCAGGCTAATTCTACCCACTAACTTTTGGGGGAAAAGTCAGATACATTGGTTTGAATAATATGGACACGGGAATAGGAAGGTATAGCTTAAATCTCAGCTCTATTGTTTTCCAGAGTGAACTTGGCAAATTTTTCTAACCCCCTCCATGCTTTAGCTTAGTTATTATTAAAATGAAGATTATACAACTCAGTTCCAGAATTTTCTTGAGAAGACAATAAAAACATACAAATCAAGTGACTAGGACTCTTGTTAATAAATTGTATGCATTTACAAAAATGAGCAATTGTCACAATAATTGTGCTCAGAGAAGGAAGACACCTGTTGTAGTGTTGAGACAGTGAAAACAACCTTTGATGAACCAAGATGATGAATAAGTTTTTACTGAATGCAAAAGATATAGACAATTTTTTGGTCACTGTATGCAACAAAGGCAGTGTAGTAAACTTTCTCCCTACATCTTCTTCCTGAATGATGTGAAATAACTACACATCTATGATATGTCTATACAAAACCAAATTCTCAAATTACTTCAAGACAGATGATACTAATAAGGCAAAAATGCTCTCAGTAAAAAGAGAAAAAAATCAATAAATAGCAGTGCCCAGTAACACAGATTTTGACCCCATTCTGGTGTCAGGGAAGAAGAAACTTCAGCCCCTTGCCCTTTAGTTTTCACAGCCGTACTTAGTTAATGGAATAATAAATGTAATATGTGCATACTGGAGAATCACAATATGATACAATACTCAGGCCATAAAATAAGTCTCAAAGAAGTGATCAAACTAGGCTCATTTAAAAAAAATCAATAGTTTTATTTGTATAAAATCATTTAAAAATATTTAATTAAATTTTCAAAAATGGAAAATGTTTGTTTTATTTATATAACTTCTTTTTTATTACATACTTTTAATTTTATTGTTGTTCAAGTACAGTTTTCTGCTTTTTCCCCCCACTTCTTCCCTCACCCCAGCCATCCCTCCCTCCCTCCCTCCCCTGATTCCACCCACCTTGTTTTTGTCTACCTGTCCTTTATAGATGTTCCTGAAAACCCTTCACCCTTCCCTCCTCCCCATTATCGCCTCCCATCTCCCCTCTGGTTACTGTCCGTTTGTTCTTAATTTCAATGTCTGTGGTTATATTTTGTTCACTTGTAGGTTCCAGTTAAAGGAGAGATCATATGGTATTTGTCTTTCATGTCTGGTTTATTTCACTTAGCATAATGCTCTCCAGTTCCATCTGTGCTGTCAGAAAGGGTAGGAGCTTTTTAGACGAGAAACAATACATTTGTGAGTAATTGACAGGACAAAGAGAGTTAGTGCTCATTTGAAAGGAATCTAAGCAAGGCTTGGGTTTAGGTAGTAAATTAGTGAAGGTGTAACAAGGTTTTTCAATGCAGGCTTTTCCAACTCTGGATTTATAACTCTTGCAATAATGTCAACTCTCAGCCCATGGGAGTAGGGAGGGTACATATCACACAAACATTTATTTCCTGCATTTTGAGAGACAGAGCAGAGTCGGAGCACTCCTCCTGCTCTGGCTGCTTCTCAAATCATTTTATTTTATTTTTTCACATGTTTTACTGTATTTATTATCTTTTCCAAGAAGCGAAAATGTGCAATTTCTTACATATCTGCCTATAGGGAAGACATTTAAGACATTTCTGTTCCACTGGAAATACCCTTATTGATTTTGAAGGCACACAAACACTGGTCTCCCTGCCAGCATTTCACCCGTTAAGTCTCTTCCCCCTCACCCATTCCTCACCAATTCCAGCATCCTTTTGGTGGCACTTTTCTTGGAAGCCAACTTGGCTTTTTTTTTTTTTAAATGCCATCTGGTCTGGTGATATCTTTAATATCCTTTATTTTTTTGCTCTAGTTTATCAGTTTATTTTATTTTATTTTTAAATTGTTGTTAAATTACAGTTGTCTCCATTTCCCCCCCATTACTCTCCCCTGCCCTACCCACCGCCACCTCCCACATTCAATCCTCCTCCCCCCATTGTTTTTGTCCATGAGTTCTAGTTTGAAAGAATCAATGTGCCGGTCATGGGATATCTTGGGGCAGTTGGCCCTGGGCTCCAAAACCGGCAAGCAAAGGTGGCTCAGAAAAACTGTCAGACCCAGCCCAAGCCTAGAGCCTAATCCTGGACTATCAGCATCACAGGACCTGTGGGGGTTTGGGGATTAGAGCTGAAATAATGTAACAGCTGCCATTCAAATCATGTGAACAGAGAGAGGAGAGGGTCAGTTCTGAAAAGAAGGATGTTGTTGACCCAGAAGTGCCAGCAAATAAGCCATGTGACTATGCTCTGTATATGGAGAAATTTCAAGGGAAATAAAGGTCTATCTATTTCTCTATTATTGGTCTATTATATGCTTGAATTTGGGGCATTCCATTTTAGTGACTCATTGTTTTCTTTTTTTAATTTAAGGCAGCATCTATTTTAAAACAAAACAATACTCTTCTTGGAAGAATGTGCAGCAGCACCTATAGTTGCCTGCTAACAATGATCTTATTTCACCCCTTTTCCTTGCTGGCAAAAGCTACCTGTCTCCCTAGAAGTTGGTAACATCCCCAGAACCTACCACCATTTCTGGTACATAGTAGGCACTCAAGAAATGTTGAAAATGGAGTAGTTAATACAGATTGAATATGTAAAGAGCCGTAGCACAGCACACCGAGAAGCTCTTTGATTGGTGTTTAAGTCCACATAGTCATCATAGTATGGAATAGCAAAGATCTTAGTTCAAGTCTCAGTTCTGCACTTTGGAAAGTGCAAATTTTATTTGGAAAACATACATGTATACAGATTTTTTATGTGAGTGTCATGTAGAGTGAGTACCTGGAAAATAATTATAATAGCTAACTTATAAAGTGTCAAGGACTTGCCTAAATGCTTAAATATATTTACTTACTAACTTGTTACAACTCTTATGAGCTAGGTAGGTACTCACTATTCCCATTTCATAGACAAGGAAACGAGGCACAGGGAGAATAAGTGACTTGTCTAAGGTCATCCAGTTAGTATAGTATTATTGGATGAGTGCTATGGAAGTCATTAAGTAAATATTAATTATAGTACTAATATTAATTAATTATAATTAGACTTACAGTTATTAAGATGTCATTTGGAAAGAACCTGAAAGAAACAGAACAGCAATGAAAGGGTAATATACTATATTTAATAGGTGTTATATACCATCTAGTGGTAATCTAGAGAATTCCATCATTGTACATATTTCACTCTGTAAAATCTAAGGAAGTTTTATTTTTCCATAACGATCTTTAAACAGCATCATAAAGGCAATGCATTTATAATCACATATTTACAGAGTTTATAAGCCCAGTAAGAGAACAGCACACATTTAAAGGATCATTTCAATCGACAGTCAAGAATCCAGCTTTCTAGTACTGACGTTAATAATAACCAAGACTTAAAAAAATTTGGAATAAATTCTCTTGCAGAAAACAATTGTATATGCTCTCAACATCTAGCTTGTATCTGCCTAAGTTTCCTGCAGGCACAAAAATTTCTGTTCCAGCCCTACTCTTCCTTGCTCTTTTCCTTCTTTTAGGCTCTTGGAAAACTTTCTAAATCTGTCTTCTACCACAAGTTGGGGCCTGCACAATGGAGAGACCAGCCTGTCCACTAACCTGTTGTCCTCATTCTCAGAGCCTGAGATCAATCAGGCTTTGGCGGTAAGCCATGGTGCATTTTTCTTGTACCCAACATTCTGGCATCATGCAGAAGGCAAACTGAGCATAAAGTTAGCTTTAGGAAATGCAGTGTAAATCAGAGGAAGAGGTAGAGCCCATTTTGGCATAGTAACCCTTAGGAGTCATACCAGGACCAAGACCTCTAGGAGAACTTGCCACTCTTTTATTTTGTTTTACATGCATCTGCCCATACTTACTGCAGGCCAACAATTTTCCATTTCATTTCACTACTTCCTTCCAATATCGCCACATATGAGGCCCTGGATTGCTTTCTAAGTGTGGCATTTACCAAGAGAGAGAAAAGGGACGTAGGCCTAGGTCTTATTCTGCAGGACTATTATTTCTTGCACATTAACTGTCCTATCCTGACATGTCCTTTCTGCTCATAAGCACTCCATACTATCACTAAGTACTTTTTAAAAAATTCTCAGTAAGTACCTAATTCCCAAAGGCTGTAATGTTTATTCACCATCATTTTTATTCTTGAGGGAAAAGTTTCAGAAGTACCCTTGGACTCTAGCCCCACTCCTCATTTCTGTCCCTGCAGATGAAGCAAGATATCTCTTGATGGATGACAACTGGTTGGAGCTTATATATTAAAAAAAAATGCCAAGAGTCAGGAATCGTTGTGTTTTTCTAATTTATTTCAATGCTACATTCCTATTATCTTTTTAAAAACTATAGCTACAACTTAAATCTCATATGAGTTATATTGCTGACTTCCCATTATCTTTTTAAAAACTATAGCTACAACTTAAATCTCATATGAGTTATATTGCTGACTTCCGATGATACTGGAGCTTATAAAAACCTAAAGATGGCCAGAAAATTAGCAAATTTGTGCTCCTCCTGTCAGTGATACATAGACAAAAGACAACTTTCTCAGCTCCAGCCAGCCACTCAGGCAACTTGGTGGTGCCATGTGAATTGCTTATAATTTTAAAAAATTTTGATTTGGTTCATCTTATATTTTTCAATTTTATTTTATTTTGCATTTTTAAAAGGAAATAACATATATGTATGTGTGGGTATTATGTAAGAGAGTATAGATTATATATATGTATAAACCAGTTGTTTATTTCTATTTTTAGGTATTTAAAACATCAAACCTTCTTTCAGGCTAATTCTACTGACGGAAGTACCCCGGGGGCCAGCATCATCGCCCTCTGCGGAAGACAGCTTTCTGACATTTGGGTAAATGTCCTTGAAGCATTTGACTCTGAAACTGAAATCACGTTGTGTTAAGCCACTAATTTTCCACATTTTTCATCTCATGACACACATAAACTAATGACTAAAATTCTGTGGCACACTGAAAATATATTTTTTGCTGTCCTGACAAAAATAGTTATAAATGATGATTCATTTACACTAGAAGGCTATTGTTATGTTGGCTATTGTCATTTTTTAAATTTGACAATCTAAAGAAAAAGAAGTCAGTACTTTTCACCAAATAGTCAGGTACTGTATGTTTTAAAAATTCTCATGGCACACCGGTTGAAAATTGCTGTGTTGAGCCATTTAATTTTAGAGGTTTATTTATTAATGCAACAAAGTCTTACCATAAGACTTTAGACACAGTGTTTTAAATGTAACATACAGTGCAATCATTTTTATTTTGGTTTATCTCTTAATTTTAAATTTTATTTTAATTTAATTTCAAATTTCACTTTAGGGAATAAGAAGTATATGTAGTAGAATATAATTATGTATATATAATATACATATCTATAATTTCTCTGTAAGACAAAGTCAACCAGAGAAAGAAGCAGTAAGTGACCTAGTCCGAGTAGGCACCAGCTGGTGCCAGCACTGGGCAGGCTGCCTCTCTCCCTCTGCTGCTGCTGCATGCCCGCAGACCATGCTGTTCCTGAGTGTCAGCAAAAGGGACACCCTATACACGTACACACCCGATAATAATAATCTTTAATTATACAGATTTAGGTAGAATAACATCCAAAATTCCAATCAGGTTTTAGGATTTTTATTAATTTATCAGCATTTTTCAGCTATTTGATTTAATCTACCTTGAACAGTAAACATTTTATTTATTATTGATGCTAATTCAATAATGATCAATTAAATTGACAGCAATAGTAATTCAAAGTTTAAAGTAGGAAGGAAAGAAAAAATCATGCAAATATGCAGGAACCAGTCTTTAAGAACACTTTTCCTTGGGGAATTATCATGGCAGATTCTTGTTTTACTACAGATTTCCAGAAATATTTAATTAAAAGAATGAAGGATGAATTCCAATATACCTAGAAAAGGTTTCCTGCAACTTTTAACTTGATTAAAATTTTCCATACAATGGAAGACAGTGTTCCTAGAAAAACAGTAAAGGTATCTGAGTTGTAGATAAAATTATTATTTTTATCCCAAATGTTAAAATTATTTTAAAATTTCAATTTAATTGCCATGAAATTAGCATTAATAAAACATACAATGTTTTTGTCTTAATATTATGTTATATCTTTATGTTCAAACTTATATGATACATAGTAACTAAAGAGAATAATGGATATCAGAGAATGAAAACTCAAAAAATGGTGCCATTTTTTACACATCACACTGCTGCAATTTTAGAAAGTTTGCTGATATTCATCTTGGCATCTATGAAGAAACATGAACTTTATTTTTATTTTTTGAGACATAAATTTTAATAAATAATTTGCAACATTTTGTTTTTTCGTTTTTTATTTTATTTTGCAAGAATAAAATCCATGGCATACTTTTAAATTGCACTTTAGCAATATCTAATCAAAGAACTTGTTCCTTGTAAATTAATCTGTCACAATTCCAACAAATTAAGCTATTAAAAGTCTACATAGAATATAATCTTTGTATTGTCTAAAACTGGGAAGAGTATAAATCTACTCAATGGAAAGCTATGTACTAATTTTAGAAAATGATGTGTATCACTATTTATTGACTTGTTAATATATCAAATATACATGGTTAATTAAAAATGTATAGCAAGAGTAGTGTCATACATATAATCACTTTTACCCAAACAACATAGTTTTATCAAATGCTTTATTTGTTTCTTTACATCCACTAGTTCAAATATTTTCTTTTTGCAGGAGTGAGTCCAAAACAAAAAACATCAGGCAAGGAATTAAGGTGAGAAGGTTCAGGGACAATGATGAAGAGGGTAAGTTTTATTTGCATCTAAGAACTCTCTGTTGCATTTCAATTTTTCATTGGAGACATATTGAACACATTTAAAAATAAATATAGGGGACACACATTATAAAGTATCTGATTGTATAACCATTTTGCTGTATAGCTAAAACTAATGCAGAATAGTGAATGTAAACTGTATTTGATAAATAAATAAATAAAATATAGCTATAAAAATAAAATCCTATTAGGAAAGGGAAAGAAGCATTTACTAATGATGTGAATTTTGCATAGAACAAACACGTCAGAATCGATTGATCAGTCATGTGCCAGAAAGAAAGATACAGAAGTCCTGAGCCAGGGACTAACGTGCTTTTTCCTCTATTGACCCATGTTAGGACAATCATGTTTATTTCCAATTGATTTATTTCATAGGAAGCTACTTTCATTAATGTCTGAGACCCTTACCCCACCTTTAATTCTTCCCCATGGAAATCCCTAATTGGTGGCTGATAGTTGGCGTTTAGTCACCAAAAATGTCGAAAGTCAGGAATCACTCTCTTCTCCACATTGCTCCACACAGTCAGTGAGGCAGGGCAGCCACACAAGTAAGGGGTCTGTTCTGCAGCCTGAGCTTTACCCTGCATGGCTTTGCCCAAGTCTGGTTGAGGTAAGTAAATGATTATCTTTAAAAATGCCAAATAATGTGTGGCAGGAAAAGAAAACTCCAAAGGTTTCTTATGCTCTGTAACTGTAACACTTGCAAAGTTTCACACAGGACTGTAGAAGCTGACAAGTCGTAACCAAAGCAACGGCCAGTTACTCAAGGTCGTACACAGACTCCCATGATAAGCTCCTGTGCTCTGTAGCTTCTGCAAATTCCTCCTGCGTTTTCTCTTTGTCTCCCATATAAGGTAGCTGGATCTAACTTCCGCATTCGGCTTCTGTAACCTTGATTCGCCACGTAGGTAGGAAGCCCGGGACTATTTAAACCCTGGGAGAGAGAGGATGGGTGCTCAGAGGATTTGGATGTTAGCCACCCTCTCTGGGCTCCCAGGTAATAAAGTTTGTGCTTCGTTATCTCCCCGCGTGTGGGTGGATTTTCCACAACAATGGAGACTTGAAGCCCCAGGAATATTAAAGCATAAAGGCTAAAGTACAAGAAATTCTGTCCATTTTCTAGTGTAAAACAACACAAAATTTTCTGATTTCAAAAATGGAGCTGAATCTTAATTTAAAAACTTTGTTTAATACATGTTCACTGACTGACTACAAACCAGCTGCTTAAATGTAGAAAATATATTTATCAATGGCATTTAATTCAATTTTTTCTATAATTGAATTAATTAAAAATATCTGCCAAGGTTTTCAGCACAGTTTCTGGATTCTGAACATCAATGGGAGCATGCAATTGCTAGAGAAAGCTAGAAAGCAAGGTACCTGGTTTAACTACATTCCAATTTGTTGTTTGTTTTATCCTTTTAAATAAGGTTTTATTGTAGTCTATAGAATCCATTCAAAACTACTTAACAAATCCAAAGTTAATTTTTGTAAAATTGGAGCTTAAAATAATCTAGGAATGATACAGAGAAGATTGGCATGGACCCTGCTCAAGGATGACATGCAATTTCGTGAAGCGTTCCATATTAAGAAAAAAACTAAAGTAAAAAAATACCTGGTAAACTTCATTTCACTTTTATGTTGCTTCTGGAAAGGATGAATGACAGCTAGAAACAGTATAACAAAAATTCATCTGATCCTTGAAGGGTGGCAGAAATGTGACATTGTCTGACGGGATCCCTATAATGCCAGAATCAATCGCAGCAAGGAAGGGTACTGCAGAGAAATAATAATTAAAGTCTGTGTAAACAAAAACTTATTATTAATATCATTAACACACAAAAGGGGTTGTTTCTGAAGTAAGAAAATCTATCATAATGTTAAACTGGCAGATCTAGACATGTTATATATCATAAGCAGTAGTTTGGCACAGTTCAGAAAGTCTCAGAAATTTGCTTTATTGTCATATGCAACTTGGACATGCTTCTCTTCAAAACCCTACTCTCATCAAGCAGAATGGATTTATGTTGTAGATTTATTATTTTAAATCATAAAAACATAATAATGGCACTGGACTTTAAAAATACTAATGAAATTCTAAAGCACACTAAGTGAAAAAGAAAAAAATAAGTAACTTATCTAGAGAATGCTGTGCTTTTATAAGTTTTTATTCTGCATTAAAAAATCTGATGCATCTTTAGAATATTTTAAAGTATAGCTATATTTTAGCCCTGGCTGGTGTAGCTCAGTGGACTGATCACTTATCTGCAAACCAAAGGGTCGCCAGTTCCATTTCCAGTCAGGACACATGACTGGGTTGCGGGCCAGGTCCCCAGGGAGGGGCACTCAAGAGGCAACCACACATTGCTGTTTCTCTCCCTCTCTTTCTCCCTCCCTTCCCTTCTCTAAAAGTAAATAAATAAAATATTTAAAAAATAAAATATAGCTATATTTTAAAACAAAGTTTTGTTTGTTAACATATCAGAAATTCCTACTTATGTGCTCTATAATTCTTCAGATCTGTATTCCTCTGAAGGTACTAACTCTACCTCATATGGTAAATCCCTCAAAAACTCAGATTCAAAGGCAGCAAGGAAAGATAGAACAATCACATAGAAGTCAAGGTCTCTAATGTAGCAGAAGAGAAGTGTCTATAATCATCAACTGTTTATTCAAACAGGAGTTAATAAAATGACTATGGTTTAGCATACATAATTTAGCCAGTTTATCCTCCAAACCATTATGTTCAACTTGATTTTAGAAAGTGCACAGGACTAGGAGAGCTTAGTGTAATCACAGTCACAGAACTTGACACATCAGAGACACACTCTGGGTATAGATGCTTGTACAAGATCTACCTAGTTCCAACATAGTTCTAAATTATTCATGTTTTATATTTATTTGCTCTTCAAACAGAAAGTATCCAATAAGGTTTGGCTAAGGACAACATGTGCTTCAGATTGGGTATGTATGTAGATGATGCTCAACTACGTTCCTTGTAGTCACTCTGCCTAAATTGAAGAAGAGGTTTGCAGTGAATTATCTTGTTCTATCCTCTAAGTTCTTTTAGAGATTCATGTTTCTGGCTCTCTTTCCAATTAACCTCCAACACATTTTCTTAATTTAAATTTATTACCTTTCTTCCGGTTCTTGATGCCAAATCATTTTTACCAAGTACTCAGTATAGTATTTGTGCTTCTGATTTTGGACTATTTGTCAAATTCTCAATTGTATTCATCTTATCTACTGGGACTCTGGCAATTTCCAGTCCTGGGTTACTGCAAAGTCTACTCCTCAGCCAGCCTTTGGTAGTCAGGCATGAATCCATGCTTCCTGTTAATAATACACGTTTTCCTGTCTTCCTTCTTGGCAATTTGGGAAGGAACCACTGATATTTTGATTGCTAATCTAGCTGTCAAGAAGCAGCCAAGGTAATTAGTGATATAAAATACACAGCAATTTCAAGAAATTTTTTTGGTCTTGTAGATGACAAGTTGTTTCCTCACTTTTTGAAACTAAGTGACCTCTTCCAACTTCTTTCTACTTTGAACCTGAATCTTCAAAACTGAATAGATGATTGTCAATATCAACTTTATTTTGGGCTGTCTATCCTGAGCCTGAAAGAGCATTATTTTCATTGTACTTTTAAATTATTTTATTAAAATGTTTTAAAATTTTAAGTTACATTTGACATTTAATATTGTATTAGTTCCAGCTCTATAGCATAGTGGTTAGACCTTTATAGAACTTACAAAGTGATCAGCCTGAGAGGTCCTGCTCCCACCTTACCTCACACCATACATAGTTATTACAGTATCACTGACTATGTTCCCTATGCTGTACTTTACATTCCTGTGACTATTTTTTAACTGCCAGTCTGCACCTCTTAATCCTTTATCCTTTTTCTCCTGGCCCTCCAACTCCCCTTTCATCTGACCATCATCAGTCTGTTCTCAGTGTCTGTGCTTGTTTTGTTTTATTTGTTTACTTTGTTTTTTTAGATATCACATATAACTGACATCATATGGTATTTGTATTTTACTCTCTGACTTATTTCACTTAGCATAATGCCTTCCAGATCCATCCATGTTGTCATAAATGATAAGATTTTATTCTTTTTTATGGCTGAGTAATATTTCATTGTATATATGTATCACTTCTTTATACATTTGTGTTTTGATTGGAGCACTTAATCCATTTACATATAAAGTAATTAATGATAAGTACATAGTTAATGACATTTAATGAACTGTTTTGTGATTTTTTTTGTATTCTCTGTTCCTTTCTTATTCTCTTGCTCTTTTTTCTTGTATGTTGATGACTTTTTGTAGTGTTGTGTTTATATTCCTTTCTTTTTATTTCTTATGAATTTTTGTAGATTTTGGGGTTATAGTTACCATATGCTTCATACATGACAAGTTATGTTTATAGCAGTCTATTTTATGTTCAATCATTCTAAAATCACTAGCATTTTTTCTCATCCCCTCCATGTTTATGTTTTTGTCATTATTTTTTACTGCTTTGTGTGTGTGTGGTTGCATGTCTCCCTTAATCTACTGTTGTAATTACACATGATCTTCCTACTTTTGTCTTTTTACCTTTGTTCTAGCTTTAGTGTTGGTTAATTCACTGCTTTTATTATGTGCTAGCCTTCATCAGTGTGGATTTTTTTCTTTGTGATATTTATTTATTTATCTTGATTTTCCCTACTTCTTCTTAAAGAAATCCCTTTAACAGTTCTTTTAATATTAGTTTGATGTTCATGAACTCCTTCAGCACTTTTTTTTGTCTTGGATGACCTTTATTTTTGAAATGCACATTTATAAGACATGCTTTTTTTTCCCAAAATTTTGTCCCTAGTCAATTTACTTTTCTGAAAGTCATTGAGAAGTATCATAGATATTAGATATAGTCTATAGTGAAAGTGATCTTTAAATCCTAAAATAGGTTTCAATTATAAATAAAAAATTAACAAAGTTTTGCAGACTGGGCTTTAGGGAAGCAAACTGGCACAGTAATTTTAAAAAATGGATTTTCAAGATAGAAAGGTGAGTGTTAAGAATCTACTTCTAGCTTTTTTAAGCAAATTATTCAACATCTCTCAGCTTCTATTTGTTTATCTGTATTATAAGGATAATAATATCATGGTAAAAATTTAAACTATGCTGCCAAAGGGCTTAAGTAAGGTGCTAGAATGTAGTAAGTATGGAATAAACAGCAACTAGTTGGAGAAGGGGCTGGTGATGTGTGGAATAAAAACAGAATGAGTGAAACACTGAGTACCTTTAAGGATCATCTTCTTTAGTGTTTATCTAAAATTAACAACATTTTGTACATAATTTAGAAATTGTCTTAGTAAGAGTGACCTTTCTTATTTGTTTTTAAAAATTGATTAGCTCCAAGGAAAATTGCACTGAAAATTATATGTTTTTACCAAAAATCAGGATTTAACCTAACTTATCCTAGCCCCAGTAAAATCAGAGTGAGCAGGCCTCACAGCCACAGCTCAGTGAAGAAGCATAGAGCAAATATAACACTTACTTCCCCAGCCACTGTTAACAGTTAGACAGCCAGTAGCTCCAGCCTCGTAAGCACAGACTGAACTACTAGGAGGCTTTGAAAATCACTCTGCAGAGTAAACAGAATAGGTAAAACAAAATCTCTAGGATGAAAGTTTAGACTTTTCATAGACAGTCAAGAGAAAGAAGAAAAATACACATATACTCCCTTACCAAAAAATGCGAAGAGGGTTATTCCTGTTAGTAATACAGTCCATTCACAGCGTTTCATTCACTTTGAGAGCTGAAAACTTCTCAGAGATGTCAGCTTGTAGAAAACACTCTTGTCTAAGCTAGGCTAGCAGAGTGTCTCAATTCTTTTGGTCAGTTGTTTGTTGCTAAATAATGAGAGATGCTTGTAATAATTCAAATGTACAGGAGGTATTTTTCTATACAAATGCACCACACGTTAATCCCCGTTTCATTCTCTACCTAGCCTGAGTTTCTTGGAAATCCAGTCACTTCAGATGAAGCCCATTTAGCAAAGAATTTCACGTAAATGGAAAGCTGGTTCAGTGAAGGGAGCTTGGAAATAAGAAAATTGATTCCAGGACTAGAAACAGTAAAGCCAAGTAGTGAAACTGTCCAAAACAAGAGGAAGAAAAAAGAGGGGCTTTCTAGAAACCCAGAGTTCCAAGCCGAAGCATCACACCTCTACTCCATGTTCCCATCCTACAGTTTCAGTACAAGAAGAGAGCGGTCTAGTTACTTCCTAGTTACTAGGAAGATCTAGACCAGATCTTCCTTGTTTCTCATTCTTTTCCTCTGCCTGAATCTAACAATGAACAGAAAGGAGACTGCGTGTTGAGAGCCATTATTAGATACCTTTTTTCATTTAGAATTTATGAGACAAAAGATCAGGCTTCTAAAGGAGAGTATGTTTCTTACCTTAATTTGTGTGAAATTTCTCCCTGGGTTTCATAGTTGAAAGAAGCTTTTGTTATAGTTCCTATAATAACCTCATTCATAAAACAAAGGTGGTTATAATACCACTTTCTCTGACAAGATTGTCACACTTTAAGATGGTGATTTCTCAAAATGTGAAGATTTTGAATCCAGAGAGGTGCATTTCTTCTCCAAGTAGTATGCTTTCGCAGTTCACACAAATTTATTTTAAAAACTGCAATTTTTACCAAAAAGTCCATAAAATGTAAAGAAAAGGTATGCCAAATAATTTTACTAATCAAAATCACTTGATTAGGTCATAAGAAGGTCTGAATATTTGAAGATAATGATTATATTGATTATATACTCCATGAGCATTCAGATAGCTACATTTAAACATATTAACTATAATGATAATGACACTCTTGGTAATGAAAAAAGAAAAAAAAGCAATCTTCCTTGGCAAAAATTAAAATGTACATACCTGTTTCACATAGCTTTCCATACAATGAGTGTCCAGAGTACATTGTCTGCATTGTTTTGTCCAAACAAGTAAATTATTGGTTTGTTTTTTCATAAGGATCTTATACATTTGCAACTGATCAACATATTTCCAGGGATCAATGATTTTTTTTAATTCTGTACTTTCTCCATTAATTTGGTCTCCAAAAGGGAGGTACTTATCATTTTTCATCTGTGGCTGATGCTGGGTTTTGGACTAATTTCACAGTAAAGAAGCTCAAAAATAGAAAAGTGGGGAACATCAAAGAAAATCACATCTTCACTGCCCATTGTGCTTAAGGTTAAGTCTCAAACTATAACAAATTATAGAGCTGATGAGAGTCAGATGATATTTTTCTGCCAATCAGAGAATGATGAATCTCTGAGCAGATGATATTCTGACCAACCAGCACCTGCATAGCTAATGATATATAATGATAATAAATGGGCACCTGCCAATATAGATTTGGTTATTAGAATGATTAATGGCTATTGTGAATGACTCAAGTAAATAACTCCCAAAGATAATTTATTAATGTAATCGAACTATATTTTGTGGCTTCATTTACCTCTAGGTTCTCAAATTTTCTAAACTAATAGCTTAGTTTTATCCCAAATGAATACCTTCATTCTTGCCTAAAAACTGTCTCCCAGGTGATAGTGAACAAAACAAAGAAATACACTTTTTAATTTCATTTTTTCTATTACCATTTAGTCCCCTTATTATCCCCCCTACACACACACACTTATTTTTATCTCTGGGCCATTTCTTCTCTAATGACCTAGTGTTATTTAAAATATGCTTTATTTTATGTGGCCCAGGGAAATTTAGCAGAAGGGAGGAAAAAGAACTAGAATTTATTTCTCTGGTTATTTTCTAGGTTGTTTTGAGTTATTAGCTCATGCAATTTCAAAATAATTTCATGCTGAAGGCATTCTTATTTCTATTTTAAGGATTTGATGACTGAAATAAAAAAACAGATATGTAACAGGTACAGGTTAACATAGTTTGTGATTTGGGATGGAGAGACTCAGAACTTTGGGGTCTTCTTGTATACTCCACTATTTCTAATGCAACAAGTGCTTGGGATCCTGGAGAATTTGACAGTTTCTGATTGGACTCTACTTTCAAGAATGGTTTTAACAATGTGCAAATATCTTAGTTCCAATAAGTTACTATAAATCATTCATTAAGTGATTATACTTTGTGTTTCAAATTCTAACAAAAACTGAGAAATCCAGAGAAAAGTAAGCATTTGCATTAGGTGTTAAAATATCAATGACATTCCCATTCAAGAGGGAGGAAGATCCAGTAGTTCATCTAGTACTGAGTATCTAAAGTAGTGAGGAAATCTTTAGCATGGGTTATCTAAAAGTCAATCAATTTCAATAGACATTTTCATTTGATATCATAGTAGACTGAATCAGCAGGCACTATCTACTCCCTCTGTACTTCTAAGTGTCACTGGAGAGGAATTTTCCTCTAGTACATCTAGTTTGCCTTTCCATATACACTACTAGGCAGCTACTTCCAATCTCTTACCCAGCCTTGTCCATCAAAGTTACCCTCTTTCCTTTTCTGAATGCATAATTACAGTTGTATTTACAGCACTTCATAGTTTACAATGCAGTCATTTATTCACTAAATATTAATTGTGTATCAACTAATAGGCACTATGGTATTCACCAGCATATTAAGGTAAATGAATGTCCATAGCGCTCTGAAGTGGGGAAACATACTTACAAACAAACTAACAAAATACAATGATATATGTGTTAACAAAGAGATATAAAAAGGCTAAGTATTTTGGGATGGGGTGGGGGAGGTGAAATAGGAAGATTAATTCAAACTGGATGTTTTTCTGAAGTTGAAAGATTAACTAGGAATAGACAATGCAAACATGGGGTAGGAAATTGAGAGAGATAAAATACTATGTGCAAAGCATTCAGATAAACATATGAGAAAAAGAACGTTCTGAAAATGAGGACCTAGCTGTGAACCACCAGAAAACAGGCTGCTAAGATAAGACGTGATCAGATCATGAGAGTTAATTTACTTTAATTTAAGCCATGAAGGAACATTTAGTGACTTTATTCTAGGGAGAGATATTGCTCTTTGCTTTCATTTTAGAAAAAATTTGTATACCTATATATATTATATATTTTTTAAGATTCTATTTATTTTTTTTTTGAGAGAGAGAGAGAGAGAGAGAGAGAGAGAGAGAGAGAGAGAGAGAGAGAGAGAGAGAGAGGTTGCTGGGGGCCGTGACCTGCAACCCAGGCATGTGCCCTGACTGGGAATCAAACCTGCAATGCCTGGTTCGCAGCCCGCGCTCAATCCACTGAGCTACGCCAGCCAGGGCTGTATACCTATATTTTTAACTGAATCAAATCTAAACATATTTTCTGCCAATATTTTGTTTCATTTACCTAATGAATGCATGACCATATAAATAAATATAATCAGGTGGCTTAATTTAAAGTTAATTTTACAAAGAAAGAGACTTCGATTCTCCCCTCAAGCTCTCTTACCACTCTCAGTGACCCGGGCAAGTCAACGTCGTGTAGTTCCCTTGTTTATATAATTGGATAAAGGACATTCTGCATCTTGTCCAGCTTTAAACATGTACGATTCTAAGCTTCACTACTTCTAAAATTTTTACCAGACCAGGAACAATGAGTAAACTTTCAAAAGCATACTGGCAACGAGAAAGCAAAATGATGCCTAGTATCAAATTTGCCGGAATGACCACACTCCAGAAACTGCTGCCGCAGAGACAGCGTCACCACACAAAAACGATGCACTACGACACAGGCGGCGGCAGCTCTTCCCTTCCAGCCTGCGCCTGACCGGAGCTTCAGAGCTCCGATCTCAGATCTTCTCACTTAAGCATTCACCGTATTCGAGTCATCCGAGTTTTTTGAGCAGATTGTACTGATTATGTTAGAGTCTAAAATTTAAGAGAATGCTAAAGAAAATGAAACCACTTACTAGAGTGCCTCAAAACCGCTAAGAATCAAATACTTTAAAAAAGTTGTTTATGCTATTACAGTTGTCCCAATTTTTCCCCTTTGTTCTCCTCCTCCAGCCCCTCCTCTTCCCACAGTCAATCCTCACACTGTTGTTCATGGGACATACATATATGTTCTTTGTCTAATCCATTCACCTTCTTTCAACTAGTCTCCATCTCCCCCTTCCCTCTTACAGCTATCAGTCTATTCCTTGTTTCTGTGCTTCTGATTATATTTTGTTTGTTTTTTTATTTTGTTCCTCAGATTCTAGTTATAAATGAGATCATATGGTATTTGTCTTTCATTGCCTGGCTTATTTCACTTAGCATAATAGTCTCCAGTTCTATCCATATTCTCACAGAAAATAAGAAGTCCTTTTTTTAATGCTACATAGTTTTCTATGGTGTAAATGTACTACAGCTTTTTTATCCACTCATCTACTGATGGACACTTAGGTAGTTTCCAAGACGTGGCTATTGTGAATAATAACACTGCTATAAACACAGGGGAGCTTACATTCTTTCAAATTGGTATTTCGGATTTCTTGGGATATATCCCCAGAAGTAGAATTGCTGGTCAAAAGGCAGTTCCATTTTTAATTTTATGAGGAAACACCATACTGTTTTCCAGAGAGGCTGCACCAGTCTGCATTTTCACCAACAGTGCCCTAGAGTTCCCTCTTGTCCACATCCTTGCCAACACTTGTTGTTTGTTGATTTATTAGTGACAACCATTCTGACAGGTATGAGGTGATATCTCATTGTGGTTTTAATTTGCATCTCTCTGATGGATAGTGATGTTGAGCATCTTTTTATATGTCTATGGGCCATCTGTATGTCCTTAAAGAAGTGTTTATTCAGGTCCTTTGCCCATTTTTTAATTGGATTGTTTGTCTCCTTGGTGTTGATGTGTGTGAGTTCTTCACATATTTTCAATACGAACCCCTTATCAGATATACCATTGGCAAATATGTTCTCCCATACAGTGGGTTCTCTTTTCATTTTGCTGATGGGTTCTTTAGCTGTGCAGAAGATTTTTATTTTGATGTAGTCCCATTTGTTTATTTTTTTCTCTGTTTCCCTTGCCCTAGGAGATATATTGGCAAAAATATTGCTATGCAAAGTATCTGAAATTTTACTGCCTATGCTTTCCTCTAGATTTTTTATGGTATTGTAACTTATATTTAAGTCCTTTATCCATGTTGAGTTTATTCTAGTATATGGTATAAGTTGGTGGTCTAGTTTCATTTTTTTTGTAAGTACCAATCCAGTTCTCCCAACATCATTTATTGAAGAGACTGTTTTTACTCCATTGTATGCTTTTACCTTCTTTATCAAATATTGACCATAAAGGTGTGGGTTTATTTCTGGGCCATCTGTTCTGTTCCATTGATCTATATGTCTTTTTTTATACTAGTACCAGGCTGTTTTGATTCCTGTAGATTTGTAGTATAGTTTTATGTCAGATATTGTGATCGCTCCAAATTTGTTCTTCTTTCTCAGGATAGCTCTTTTCTCAAGCTACTCATGGTCTTTTATGATTCCATATAAATTTTTGGAATATTTGTTTTAGATCTGGGAAATATGCTGTATTTTAATAGAAATTGCATTGAATATGTAGATCGTTTGGGGTAGTATAGACATTTTAATGATGCTAATTCTTCCAATCCATGAACAAGGTACTTAATTAAATAATAAATGGATCATCAATGAAATCAAGGAAGAAATCAAAAGGTACCTGGAAACAAAGAAAAATGAACACACAGCCCAAAACCTATGGGACACAGGAAAAGCAGGGCTTAGAGGGAAGTTTATAGCATTACAGGGCTCCCTCAGGAAGACAGAAAGATCTCAAATAAGCAACCTAACCATGCAGTTAAAAGAACAATAGCAAACCAAGCCTAAAGGGAACAGAAGGAAGGAAATGATCAAGATCAGAGCAGATATAAATAATATAAAGACTAATAAAACAAATCAAATTGCAATGAAACCAGGAGCTTGTTCTTTGAAAAGACACGCAACTGATAAAATTTTAACCCGACTCATCAAGAAAAAAGGAGAGAGCACCCAAATTAATAAAATCAGAAATGAAAGAGGAAAAATAATCATGGATACCACATAAATACAAAGGATTATAAGCAAATACTATGAACAACTATATGCCAAGAAACTGGGCAGCATGGGCACAATGGATCAATTTCTAGAATCATACAGTCTCCCAAGACTGAATGAGGAAGAAGCAGAACACCCGAGTAGACCAATAATGACTAATGAAGTTGAATTGGTAATCAGAAAACTCCCAGCAAACAAAAGCCCTGGACTAGATGCCTTCACAGGTAAATTTTACCAATCTTTTAAAGGAGAACTAACACCTCTCCTTCTCAAACTACTCCAGAAAATTCAAGAAGAGGGAAGGCTTCCAAGCTCTTTTTACAAGGCCAGTATTATCCTAATTCTAAAACCAGGTAAAGACACAACAAAGAAAGAAAACTATAGGCCAATATCCCTGATGACCATTGATGCTAAAATCCTCAGTGAAATACTAGCAAACTAGATCCAGTAATACAATAAAAAGATCATACACCAATGATCAATTGGGATTTATCCCTGGGATGCAAGGTTGGCACAATATTTGCAAACTAATAAGTGTGCTACATCACATAAACAAAATGAAAGACAAAAATCACAGGATCATATTAGTTGATGTAGAAAAATCACTTGATAAAATCTAACACCCATTTATGATAAAAACATTCAGCAAATTGGGGATAGAGGGACCATATCTCAATATAATAAAGGCACTATACAAAAAAACTGTAGTCAACATCATATTCAATAGGTAAAAAACTGAAAGTGTTTCCTCATGACTGAATACTTTTGATGATGTGGTAAATAACTGTAATTGAATATGAGTGATATGAACAACTCATGAATATCAGATCTCTATTTGGGGAGGTCATCTTCAAAGATAGAAAGTCCCAGTACCTCCCAAGTGTGCAATGAATACTTAACAAAGTTATACCAAAAATAAAAAGAACATTTGTAATGGTTTGAAGGATTGTGTTAATTGAAGATGAAAATATGCATAGAATTATTTTTAAAAGAAAAAATAAGTTTCCTGTTCCAAATAGACCAGAGACATTTGATAGTCCTCTTAATCTGTCTTTAAAGAATTGATGGTGCATCAGAATACCTTAGCAATAGATAAGCCCCTAAGCCCAAACATTTGGTTCTTTTTGTCCAGGTTCTATGTTCATTGAGAAACTGGCTCCTTCAGTAGATTCCTCTGCAGAAATAAAATGCCATGTCCAGAGGGCATTGATGTACTGCACGCTCACTTCTCTATTGTAAATAGTCCCTTCCTTGTTTGAGTTTCTTTTGTACTTGGTTAAGGGCTGCCAAGTTTCAGCCATGCTAAGCACAAGAACAAAATTTACTTCCTATGTCTACAAAGATGAACTCCAAACCTGGGCCAGACAATTTAATTTAGGAGCCCATCCATGAGGAATTGACCAACTTCACCTCTATTACAGTATGTTATAAATGCTTCCCATTCATTGAGTTTTTCAGTAAGTCAGCTGATTTCTATTGACAGTTATTAAGAGTTAGGCATTGTGCTGGGCACTAGGACCACAAATTGAAAAAGACATTTTTTTCCTACTACCTGAAGCTCAGTCTGGTGTAGGAACATTGGTGAGTAGATAAATGGATATGACTTATCTAATGAGTGCTATCATAAGCACAGAGTAGGGAAAAAAAATCAGTAGTTCCCATTTTGGATCCATATAGTTTTGCAGACTTCATTCCTCACTTACAAGCTATTCTTCTATAGGATGAGGTATAATGGAATTTAGTGCTGGGGGGACAAGGTGAACCATCAACCACAAGGAAAAATAAAGATCTCATATCCACATCCTGTCTATCACTTATATAATTTATAGTTTATAAGTGTTTATAACTATCTGAGCCTAGGTCTTATATCTGTTGCATTTGTGACAGAATAATTTTGGATTTTACTAGTCACTTAATTTTCTAGAAATACCACTGCTAGGTAATTTAAGGGAAGATTTTTATGGTATTTTTTCAGGTGATTGAAAAGGGTTCTGGCCCTGGCTGGTGTGACTCAGTGGATTGAGTGCTGGTCTGCGAACCAGAAGGTTTCTGGAATTAATTCCAAAAATGCCTGTGTGTAGCGTTCCACACTCACACACTCACCAGACACCAGCAGGACACTACCTAGCCGGAGATAGATTTCGATTCCACAGGTAAAGGGTTAGGTCACACCAAAGTGAGCTCCCCTTCAGATGCCAGTCACAAGCCTAGGTGCTTCAGACCTATGGGGTACAAATCAGAGGTTCCCACAAACCCCTCCTCAGGTTTGATTAATTTGCTAGAATAGTTCACAGAACTCAAGAAAATGTATTTACTCTCTAGGTTACTGATTTATTACAAAGGATATTAAAGGACATTAGTGAATAGCTAGATGAAGAGACGTAATACAGAGGGTGAGGTCCTCCTGCATGAAGGGGCTTTTGTCCTCCTGGAGAGGGGACCCCATGCAGTGAGAGCATTCTGGTTTCCCAGAATCATTCTGGCTTCCTATGGAAGCTGTCTGAAGAAGGGGCGACAAGCTGCCCTTCTGAGGATTTTATAAAGGCTTCCTTACACAGTAATGATGGACTAAATCATTGGTCACTGAAATTAAACTAATTTAAGCCCACTCACCCTACCAGGAAATTGGATAAGAGGAGTGGCTAAAAGGTCCAACCCTCTAATCACCTGGTTGGCTCCATTAGGCACCAGAACATCGCATTAACATAATAAAAAGCACTTTTATCA